TTGCATTCATACCCTCTATAACCAATAAATCAGGGCTAAGCAGAAGGGTATAAAAATCATGATCTCAGCCATAAACACGTCGTGGTCAAAACCAAACACGACGTGTTCCAGAAGAAAAATGCAATTTACGCTTTAATACAAATTCAACACGACATGCTCTCCACTACAACTCGACGTGTTGATATCTCAGTCATTTTTCTCAAGTGATTGATTTGATGTTATTCAAGGCGGGCATTTTTCCACATTTGAGAAGTCCATTTCTAGGCAATTCCAAGAAGCTTTTTCCAGTTATGTTACGAGCTTTCAACCACACGATACATTTTACACCCAAGGCATGGATGAGTTGTTCTCATGCCAAAGTCAACTGAAGAAGGATCTCAAAAAGAAGAAATATCAACCTCGCCACTACTATCCCAGGGGAGTATGTTCCAATTCTCTCTCTTTAGTTTTATGTTCTTTATTATCCGTAACATGCAATTGGGACATTGCATAAAATAAGTGTAGGGTAGGGGTTGGTTACATTAGTTACATTAGAATCCTAGGTATAATTTCTAAAATTTGAACATAAAAAAAATTGCTAGGTTAATTCAGAAAACTATGGTAAAGCAATTAGGATTCCATGCTAGTATTGTGTTTGATGATTCTTTGAGGACCTAAATGTTTAGTTGAGCCAATATACATTATAATTCATTTTTGGCCTCCTTTATTCTAGTGAAATCATTGAACAAAAACATAACCTTGCTTAGTTTGAGGGACGCAACATGTTTAGCATCGTGTACTTGAAATGTATCCAGGAAAGCTTAAGTAGTCATTGCACACTAAGACTAATTCCTTTAATCAATAAAGGTTGGAGTTAAAACCCCTTGCGTAAGCATATGTTTTTCTAGGTTTTTAGTTTTGAGTGAAAAAAATGCGTATGAAAAAACAAAAAAAAAAAAAAAAAGTGTGTTGAAATGTTTGAAAGAATCTACAAGTATGAAGACATGAAGAAGAGCTACAAAGTATCAAAGATTCAAAGCAAAAGTTGTATTTTTATTTTATTTGTAATTTTCTTTTTTAGGTTATTTTTTCATATGTATGCTTGGGGGTTTAACCATATATACCTTGAGGTAAAGAATGTTTTCTGCGGATGGATTCAGAGGGATGCATAAAATGAGCGTTGTTCGGAAAAAGTGGGCGAGTGTTTATGAATATTGTGAGTATTTAGGGTTAAAGGGTCCTTAGGAAAAATTAGACACAAATGCATGCGTTGCGGTCTTGGCATAATGGTTGGGTTCAATTGGGATTGTCTTATATGGTATTAGTGTGCTAAAATTCAGTTTTGCTTGGGGGCAAGAAAAAGTCAAGTGTGGGGTATTTTGATCGGGGTATATTTAGTTATATAATTCATGCATAATCTTAATACTTTTTGTTGTTTTTATCTCAACTATTAAACAAAAGATGCTTAATTAGTTTGAAATTTCATTTTCAGCAACAAAGAAATGCTCAGAAGGAAAAGGAAGCGGACTTGGTGATTGGAAGCTTGGAATTTGGATTTTGAACAAGGAAGATGAAAATGCAGAAGAACACGGTGTGTTTATCATAAAACACGGTGTGTTGATATGGAAATCCTTGACAAAATTGTGACTTGCCGTCCATGCGTTTTTAATGAGAAACACGGCGTGGTGGGTCCAAAATCACGACGTGTTGAGCCTATTTTCAGAATCTATTTAAATATCGTTTCTGTTCGAAACCCGAACGTTGGCTTGGAGTTTTTAGCGACTTTTGGAGACCAGAGACATTCTCAAGGAGCTTTAGAACTCAGAATTCGACTAGAGGCTATTTTTGAAGAGATCAAAGGCAATTAATCATTACTTTTCTTAATTCTTTTGTGTGAATCTTGTTTGCAACATTGAATTTCGAGTTTATGGTTTTATTTGCTAAAATTATGGGCTAAACCACCATATTTTTATTTAGAATAGATAATCTTATGACTATGTGTTGATTGAGTGGTTTTGGATTAAGTAGATTTAGTTATTTAGCATGATAAGCTTGTTGAAAGATCCTTATGTGTTAATGATAATTATTTTTTGTTAATTACTAAGTATATTGAGTTGTATGAACATCTGCTTGATTGCTTGCCTCTTATGATTTTGATGACCATCAATATTGTACGCCTAGTGTTGTGAACATAACCTAGGGTTAATTAGAAAATAAGTAAATTAATGTATGAGCATGTATGATGACCAACCATATATGAGTTAATTGAACGAACAAATTTAATTAACTACCATTACAAGTCTTGCATGATTCGAATTGAACACTAGGAAGCTTGATTGTTTAATCACTTGATCACTACTTGAATTAACTTGTTTGCTAAAGGATTAGTAATAGTGAACATGAACCTAATCATATTAGAAATCGGTAATTGATGATACATTAATCCATTGCACTTGCCACGAAATCGACCATAGGAATAAGTGAATCGAATCTAAACGGAAGTCTCTTTAATATTATTGAATCTGGTTGTCTTTTGTTCCTCTTTCTAGTTGTTAATTGTTCTTGCTAAAGTGTTTAAGTAATTGCTTAAGTTTCTAGTCTTCTAAAACTAGAGAAAAACCCCTCATTAATTCATTGTTTAAGTTAGATAATATTAGTAGTAACTTTAATTCTTTACTGTTCCCTATGTTTGATACCCAACTTACCTTCACTAAACTGCTAATCGATAGGTACACTGCCTTCCGTGTGTTTGTTTTTGTGTTTAAGTTAATTAGGATTAAACTAGTACATTCTACTTGTATCAGTAGCGAAGCAGGAATTTGAGTAGACATGACACTTCCCAAACCTACACCTTTTTCTTCACCGGTTCCTTTAGACGAACTAACCCCCCTTTATCCCCTTTGTGACACATTCGCAGAACGTGGAGTGTTGGTTGGAAGGTGAAGGACCAAATCGACTATAGGTTCCAATTCAGACTTAAAGCTTGATTCAACAGAGGAAACCATGGCATGGAGAGATTCTTAGGAAAGAGAAGATTGTGAAGGAAGATTAAATTTCGATAGATTCTCTTGAAATCCAGTAATAGACTTCTCAATTCTATCAAACACCTTCCCATTGGCTTCAATCTTTAACTTTAAATCACCATAGTAATCTTTATTGAAAGCAGTAAGATCCTCGACCAAACGAGTTGTTGTAACGACCCAAAAATAGTAATAATTTTTTTTCTCTTTTAAAAGCTTACCAAATCATTCATTAATTGTTCAGAATCAACACCAAGTCATAATACCCAAAACATCAGAGTACACGTATATGAAATGTGGAAATCATGAGGGGAGGATGTAGTGCCATCATGTTGAGCCCTTCCCTTTTGAACTGGAAGTACCTGAAACAACATAAAGCTTAGTGATTTTCCCCAAAGTACCACATAACACACATAAAAGAAAATAAACGTTGTGGGCCAAATCATAGTCATATAATCATTTCCTGCCATGGTCCATACCATGGTCTTTCCGTTCAGTGCCGAGGGCCAAATCCCGGTCTTGCATATAAGTTCTAGGGGCCAGATCCTGGTCTTTCACATAATCATCACAAGGCATCTATCATTCTACACACAAGCGATGGGCCGACATTGGAGCCTGCGACCCATGGATATAGTGAGGAAAACTCACCTCAACTGCTGAAAAACTAGATAAATGCTCAGGCTACTGGACCGGAAAAATCCCCGCTCTGACTAAACAAATAAAGCCTCGATTAATAATTGGGTCATAACCCATAGCTGGGACTCTACCTTATTTGTCCAATATCTAAGGAAAAAGGGCCAATTTATACTTTTCGTTTAAACCCGAACAAAATCCTAGGCCCAACCCTAAGGATCATCCAAAGTCCAACATGGTCCAGAATCCAAAAGTGACCCATTACCATGAAAGTGTATGGTCCAATCCTAACAAGTAAAGCCCAACGATTCAAGGCCCAAAATGACCAAAAGTTGTACTGGGTCGTACACCCCATGTACCCACTGGTACGCCCCCGTACTCAACCGATACGGGAACGGATCGTGACCAAGGTGTAGTACGCGCAGCGTACTAGGCATGACGCCTAACGTACACACCCTATATCAAAACTCATAATAAGGTCTTAATTCCCTAAGTCCCTAAGTCCAAATTTCATATCTGAGCTTACTAGGACCCCTAAGGCCATAAAGTTGCAAACTTATGCCTTTGCATGGCTACAAGAAGCCCAACACTAAAAACCTCACTTTCTCAAACCTTTCCTACACCATAACTCTTCCATGGGGTCAAACCAAGATCCAAGCTTGCATTTTATGAATTAAAATGCCCTGAAATGTCTAAAAGGACTGTTTAAAGGCTTTGGAGTACCTCCTACTCACAAAGACCTAGATTTTGGGACACAAGAGAACAGAATCTAAGCTAAACCAAGATCTAGAATAAAATGATCCAAGGTTGGAGCTTTATACCTCGAAATGGCGCACAATGGAGTGAAGATTTTGGATCCAAAGTCTTGAGAGCAAAGCCTACTCCTTGAATATCTTTCTTCACAAACATGAAGCCCAAAAATCACTGTAAAAGCTCAAAATGCTCAAAATAGACTAGGGTTTGCAAGGAGAGTCGATCTTGGGGTGTAGGCTGATGAAGGGAAAGGTCTTGGAGCTATAATGGTTCTTAAATAGTGCAAAAAACCTAAATGTTAGCGTTTTGGTCTGAATCATGTACGCCCAACATATTGGGGTACTTGCAACATACTAGCACGGGATTCAGTACGCCCGGCGTACCAAAGTGTACTCCCCGTGTACTCAAGCCACACCCAAAAATCACAAAATTGCTATTAGGGACCCAACTTGCAAATAATTCAAAACAAATGGGTAAAAAGTAAATACCTGGGAAATTAGATGTTACAGTTGTAGCTCCAATCGACACATTAACCTTCTGAGTAACAGTTTCACAAAACTTATATTTTGTCTGAACATCTTTTGAAAATAATTAATTGAACTCCTTTATCTTCAACTAAATTGACTCCTTTGAATGAGTCACTAGCTTGTCAAGTATCACATGACGCTCACGAGTAGCATCTTGTAATTCCATAAGTTCATAATCAAAACTAAGAAAATGAGTAGCCAACATTTCATCAATATGTTTATCAACATCTTCAAGTAGAGTCCTTATGCAAGACTCTTGAGACTTTAACATATATTTGACCTCAAACCCGCTAACAAATGACTTCCCAACACTATCATTCAGAAATTGAAGAATGGAATTCATTTTAGAATTGAGAATCTTGAATTGTTTACCAGACATGATGGCATTATCAAGCACATCGTTTTCTTCTGTATTAAATTCCTACTCTACAAAGGAAACCATGACATCATGTTCATCTTCTTCTTTATTAACAGTTTTCTCAGTCTCTGTGGATTAAGATGATAATAAAGATTTAATAGGTTCGTTCATCACCGCTTGAAAATTTTGTGATACAGCTGCTATGGATGTGGGTGGAATGGTAGATGTTGGTGGTGGAGAGGTAAGTGGTGGTGGTGGCGGAACATTGATAGTATCAATGGTTGTTGTCGAACTCCCATCACCCATCTTAACATTTGCGTCCTTATTAGATAAGTTCGCATTGATGTTTGAAGTTCTTCCTCCTCTATGTTGGACTTGGAATGTGAAACCTTAGGTGGTGTGACGGTTGTCCTCCTCCATCTTCTTCTTCTTTTTCTTCTTCTTACCCTTATCTTCTTTGGAAGATCCCTTTATAACTTCAAAAGTAACCTTTATAGGAAGAATACTAGTAGGATTTGGATCTATAGAAGCTTTGTATTTAAGTAAAATCTTATTGGTAGGAGGCACCAAATTAAGCACTGTGTTTTGAATTCGACCAACCACAGGAAAGACAACCGGATTATCTAGGGCAGATGTGGGAATACTCAACTGAGAAAATGTAGCAACTTCATCATTTGTAGGTATTAGAATACCTTCTTGAGGACATGCATGTTCATAAAGAAATATACTTTAGGATACACGATTATCACAGTCTATGTAGATGATATGTATCTTAAAAGGAACCTTGAAAAAAATTGTTCAAAACGGTTGAAATCCTGAAGAAGGAATTCGAGATGAATAACCTTGAGAAGACACAATATTTACTCAGCCTGCAGATCGAGCAACGTCAAGATGCAATTTTACGTCATTAAGAAAATAACACCCATAAGGTTTTGAGACCCTTTAATCATCATATTCAAAATAACACAACTCTTGCTGACTGATCTGATGTAGGTTACTAATGCGACTCGCATATGGGATGTTCCCAATCTGGTTATGCCTTTGTTATCAGGAACACAACTCTATCATGGAGGTATTGTAAACACACCTTAGATGCTACTTCGATAAATCTCTCCAAACTACTTACACTCTATGGGGCTACTAGGGAGTATGTATGTCTTTGAGTTGTAATTGGTCTTGTTCGAAGTACATGTTATTTAGCTTATAATCCTAATTAAATAGTTGTCATATATGAAGATAAAATTGTTGTTATTGGTACTGAGAAACATGGTTACAAAAGGGGATAACACTAAGTATATCTCATGAAAATTATTCTTTACATATGGATAACAAGCAATTCAAAAGATTGAAGTGCAGCGTATTGGATAAAAGAAGAATCGTGCAGACTTGTTCACTAAGTCACTACCAAAGTTTTCATTGTAAAAACATGTTAGATCTATTGGAATTTAGAAGCTCTCTAGGCTACATAAATGACATGTATCATGCACCAAGTTATATGTAAGTAAGGATTGCATACTGATGGTTGCTTAGCACCATACTGAGTTCATGTAAGGGGAAAAATCCCGAAGAATGCTTATGTACTCTTTTATCCTTGGTTCAAGGGTTTCTTCCCATAAGGTTTACCTTGGAAAAAATATTTATAATGAGACACTAAGTGTATCCCATTCCTACTAAGGATTGATAAAACTAGGAGGAGTATCAAGTTGAATACTATTAGCCATTGTGAACTTTTCTTATCATCCGTTTAAATTTTTTACCCCTTTTAGTTTTATTTAACATGGTTTTAATGACGTACGCCATATATAGTTATTTCCCAAACTCACGAAATCCATATCATACTCTTTCATTCTTCGACCAGAGTTTTTGTCCCAGAGGGTTTTCTCCGATAAGGTTTTCTTTAAGGTGAATGTTTGATGCATTTTTTGAAGATACAAGACATATAAGAAAGATGATGATTCAATGTAAATCTAAGCACCCAAGAGGGAGTGTTGTAACTCATACCATACCAATGGTTGCTTCTATTTAGGTATTTCATAAGTTAAAGTTATGCACATAAATTATACAATCTTTAGTTTACCCAACCTTTTGACTGTATATAATTGGTTATTATGTAATTAAAAATACACATATATGATCAATGAGAATGTTAGAAGGAATCATTAAGTTGAACTAGTTTTCCCTATAACAATAAATATATATCTAACACCCATTTTATGTAGAATTTTTTAATAATACCGTGTAACACCCCGTTTTATGTTATATTGTTTAAAAGGGGGGGGGGGAGGTATAAATGTAAGAATAATTAAATAAATAAAAAGAATAAATTACTAGAATTTCAATTATTAAAAAGAAAGAATTAAGGATATTTTGGTGATTTTATAATTGTTTTAAATAAATTTAAATAGATTTTAAAGTAAAAAGATAATTGAAGAAATAATAGATATTTTATAAAGAAATATTGAGATTTAACTAATAGTTAAATTAATAAATATAAAAGTAATAAACATTATTAGGTTTTAATTATAATTTTGAAATAATTACTTAACCTAACTAGTGTTGCAATAAATTTAAACTTTAAAAAATCTTATTTATTCAATATAAAATCCCAAAATTTCGCTACTTAACCAAAATACGTTAAGTTAAATCATAAATAAACTGTCTGACAACTTTCATCTAAGTTCGCAAACCAAAAAATAACAATGAAATTAAAAACAATAATTAGTTTTTAAGACAAGGATCAAAATCTTATGTTCGCACCACTTGTACAGTCAAACCTTGCCTTTCCATTACTTGTACATGCAACTCTTGACACGGATGTTTAAAAGCGAAAGGGTAAGCACTCAAGTTAGTGAATTCCAACACAACATAACATCGAGGTAAAATATCTTACTCTTACCATTCTTACATCTATCATGTCAAGAAGTAATAATCTAAGCATACTTTGGAGATGAGCAAACACATTCTTACAATGTATGCAAGTTGAAGAACACATCAATAAACAAGCATACCATAAGGACTCAGTATTACTACCTTCGGTCCACATACTTGGCATCACCACCTTCAGTACCATGACTCGACACGTCTACCTTCAGTCAACCCGCTCAACCTTACGACCTTTAGCCCAATGTTGGGATTCATGTTTGTATAGATTTGAGGATGAAATATATATATATTATAGTTATACTTTATCTTATAATTGTAGACAGTCAGTATTGTCTAAGTAAGTGTAAATCATATAACTTAGACAAGCTGATCTGTCAGATTTTGTTTAGTTAGTTAATCTAAAGATATGCTGATGGAAGTTCATATGTCTAAGACTGAAGATCATACCCTGATGACCAAAAGACACTGAAGACACTATCAGCACCAAAGGCATGAAGACACCATTCACTGAATACTAGTCAGTGTATCCAAAAGTTGAGCAGGTGACACACTGATGACGTACGCCGATGGTTATTCACTCTAACTGAAGCTGAAGTTGATCAGCGTGACTCCCTAACGCTGATGCTCTGATCAGCGTATGACGTGCCGATGTTGATATACGAATCTGGAGCAGATCAGATTTACTTGGTGAAAAAGCATTCTAAAGATTTGATCTGATCCATTCCTTATATACCAAATCTGTATTTATCATTGAAAAATCAAGCCCATCAAATCAGGGATACGATATAATTAGAAGATCTGGTGTATCTACAAAATTCTTATCTCTTAGGTTTATACTAGTATTTATACTAGCCTCTTTCATTAGTTGAGAGTTGATGATCTGTATTGTATTTTAAGAGTTAGAGTTTCTGTAGAGATAGATCTGAGAGTTCTTAGATTGTACTCGTTCTTTTTGTGAGAGCATTGTTCTTAATAAAAAAACCCGATAAATAATATTGGTTATTATTTTTCAAATATTTTTGTTATTATTCCGCGTTTCTATTAGAATCATACATAAGTATTAGGTTTTGGGACCATCACCCAACATACCGTAAAAATCAAACAAGCCATACAATCTACTACTAGTCATACATGTCCTAATGACACACAAACGAACTAAGCAAGACATAATACATCAAGGTCATGTAGTAAGGAACTCACCTCATGTCACAGGTGAGTCGCAACGAGCATGCACCCGGACTCTAAGAAATCAAGGTACCTCCTTCTTTCCTTTATAAAAATTTTAAAGTGTTAATACAAACTCTTAACCCTTGATTCCACTAATACCTCCTTAAGGTCATTTTTAGCTTTTTACACTAAAACAACAGTCTGTTCAAGACTTGTTTTGCTTCCTTAAATCCTTTCATTTTAGAATATAAAGTAGTATTCATATATTCTCAGCTCATTACCTTTCAAGGGACATATTATACTCAGACTATTTATTTTTCTATGATTTATTATGAATTTTACAAAACTGCATATCAATGCAACTAATTTTCGACCAGTTAGTGAAAATGACGATTTTCACCTAGTTAGAGCCAACATGAGATCAAGGAAAAAATCAGGGACATACTAGACTAGAAATCGCAACTTTGGGCTCTGACGGATAATAAATCTGACTCTCTTTGTTTTTTCAACATTTTTTATAAAACATGTCAGAATAGGTATTTTACATTAATTCTCGGCTTTGACTTAGTGGGTTAATTTGGCATCTTAACCCAATAAGTCACCACTCAAAGACCCCATACAAAAAAAAAATGCTATCCTAACAATATCCATATTCCATAGAGTCCCAGTTGTAATCAAACCCAAACTCAAAGTACATTAACAAAAATGAGAATCCAAAGTATGTTGTTATAGGATAAGTTATACACCTAGGGTTTTTAGCTTGCATCGATTTAACACCAAACTCTATTAAGGACCCAAGAATCATTACTCGAAACAACACCACCACCGTCACCATGTCAATGGTGGCTGCTACCAACCTAAGGGTAGTGGTGGTCCTAAAATCGATTAAGAAAAGCAAGACGGGACAAGGAATAAAGTGGAGAACACCTTGAAAAGAGAACTCCAACCCAAAACAGCCTTAGATGGATGATTCCTTCTTCTCCCAACACTCAAATTCTGATGAAGTAAGGAGAAAGAAGGAAGCTATGGTGATTTTCCATCGAGATGGTGTCGTTGCTGGCTTGAACGACGTCGGCAAGAGGGATGAGAGAAAAGAGAGAGGAAATCCTAGGGTTTCTCCTTGGAAGCTACTACGATTGACGAACTCAATGGAGAAAGAAATATGCTCTCGTCAAATATATACACACGTGCACACACATGCACAAGTTTGCGATAATTGGAAAAAATGTTCCTTAAACCATAATCCTTTACAAGTA